TATTTACAGGGTAACAAAGCTTCAGCGTTTCCAGTTACAAACATAGCGTTACAGTTTAAGTGCATCCCAAGCGGCATCGCTTGAATGTGAAGCGGGCCGTTCGGATCGACGGCGGTTCGAGCAACAGTACGACCATTTTCAAAGACAAATGTTTTTTAAGCAGTGTTCAACTTTATGCAGATGAGAAGCGACACGCTGTGGAACGATTAGCATCCAAAAGACCTCCGGCAGTTTAATCGCCGTCGACCGCGTGAACCACGGTTGCCAGGTTTGCATATCAAATCAAGCCCAATTGCTACTAAAGGTCCACTGAAGTGCAACACAAGTGAAACGCATGGCAGTATTCAGTGTGTTGATGTCATTTCCACTGAAACTGGAAGATAGGGCGGGGCATATACAACAGCTCCTCCCCTTTTTCTAGATAGCCAATAGCGTTTCGTTTATATCACAGAGCTGTTGAGCTCAGTAAAGCCGCAGTTTCCTCACAATCTCTAACTGTTTCTCCTAATCTCCTCCATATCGCTTTAAAATAAATACTGTGCCGAATTCAACGCGTCCGATACGTTTTCTGTTCTACGGCGACTCGATCATATGTGCTGTCATATCGTGTCTCTGGACCGGAACAACGTGAAACCAAACTTCATTCGCTCAAATGGAAAGCATATATACACTGTCTGAATCGTTCCCTATCCCCTATGTAGTGCACTATATGACATTCACCATGTAGAAAATAGCAAATGTGTGAAAAAGTGACTGATTTTAGCCGCAGCTTCAGCGTCTATTTATAATGTAGGGGGCGGAGCTTCAGATTCGGGTTATTTGATTGGACAGAAAATCTTATGAGTATCTGAAGTGTGATGTCATTAAAATAATTGTTTGGCGGAAGTGAGAGACTAAGTTTTGAAAGCTTATATCTTCTAAATGCAATTTTTTTTTACATATTTTTGGAGCACACTGGCTTATAGATAACATTACGAGTAACAGTAACACTTTTCATACTAAAAAGACAAATAACTTCAATTATGATTTCATAGGGCTTTAAAAACCTGTTCAATCGCGTTCCGGGGGAGGTAAACATATTTTTTTTGTTCTTTTGCGCTTCGAACCCGCAGACTAAAATAAAAAATAAACGATTTAAATGAATCAACTCAAAACATAGGTTCTCAATCCAAGACAGTTTTTCCAAGTTCTCTCTAGATGAATCGTTATACTGACTTTTCTCATATGAACGCGACCGGAGACACCGGAAAACACAAGATCAGCCGAACGCTGTGAGTGTGTGTTAGAAATCAGGAATGGAGAGAGAACATTGTGCTTGGTACATTTTTCATCTTCAAACCAAACTTGTGTCTCCAGCCGACAGAGTTTAAATCCCGTCTGGCTCGAGCTCTTCTCATAATGTTACTCATTAGATCAGTAGACGGAGAGAAGACGGTCTTTTGTGGCTGTTTGAACACATTCGATCACATGAGTGTTTACACTGTGAAAGCAATCCGGTCGGTGTTTTCGACTCCCTCTGGATGTGGTCAAAAGTGGACAAGCTCAAAACCTTTTAGACCCTGTTTACTCCTGTATTTAGTGTCGTCCACTTGTGATCCGATCGACCGAAACACAACTTAAAGGGTTAGTTCACCCCAAAATGAAAACTCTGTCAGTAATTACTCTCCCTCATGTTGTTCAACCCCGTAAGACTTTCGTTTCGTTCATCTTCGGAACACAAATTAAGATATTTTTGATTAAATCTGAGAGCTGGATCACTCCTCCATAGGCTTCTTAAGGGATCGAAACTGGCCGGCCCAAAAGTTATGAAAGACATCGTTAAAATAGTCCGTTTTTGCGCACAAAAAGTATTCTCGTCGCTTGATAAACTTAAAGCAGCACTAAGCAGGAATTCCGTTTTTGTCAAACAGCGACCCCTAGAGTCGCTGTGGAGCACTTGTACTGTCGTGAATAGCACTCTCGCAGAGATGGCTCGCACTCACGGCCGGATCCCCTCCCCCTGTACACCGGTACCTGTTCAGTAGGATGGACGCTGTAACGAGTGGAAATAAGGTATGGCCCCTTTAAGAGCTGCACACACCCTGTTTAACTGTCGGCAGTCTGTATTGTATGTGCGCTTCGAACACCACATGTAGACGGCGCCGGGTTATTTCTGTTTGATGCTCATTTTATCAGAATTTTATCAGATCTGTTTTTTGCCGTAAAGCAATTCGTTACCTCGCGAGACCTGATATCACACGATACTTCCTAACACTGAGGTCGGCGGCCCGGCGGCCCAAAGTTGCAAGGGTGGTTTTGCGGCTCACAGGCACCAGGGGGGTGCGAGACGACCACCATTCAACACGAAATTAGTAATATAAACATTACAATGACTCCAAAGCTGTTCGGTTAAGGTAAAAAAGTTTAAGATTGAGCCACTGTAGTCACTCGGACTATTTTAACGATGTCTTTCATAACTTTTCTGGGCCGGTCAGTTTCGATCCCTTAAGAAGCCTATGGAGGAGTGATCCAGCTCTCAGATTTAATCAAAAATATCTTAATTTGTGTCCCGAAGATGAACGAAAGTCTTACGGGGTTGAACAACATGAGGGAGAGTCATTACTGACTGAGTTTACATTTTGGGGTAAACTATCCCTTTAATACCAGGAGTAAACAGCGCCTGAGTCAAACACGTCCGTCTAGCGCATGTTTACATACACGAGCGATGGAAAAGCAGCACAGTGGAATGCAAAAACGCCTTCTGTGTGAACGGACCCTCGTGCAACAACTTTTTTACGTAGATAAAATTACACGGACATATTAGCTTCTCTTTCTGGTTCACATAGGGAAGTGAAAAAGTAGTTGAAGAATGAGGCTTGAGACGAGGCACTGCGGTTCTCTGAGAAGAGCGATGGACTGCTGGAGCGACAGAAGACGAATGTGTGAAACGGATTCATACAGGAAGGAAATGAAATCATGTGAGCAGCTGCAGGAACACATTGCATAGCTGTAATGTGGATCTATACAGAAAATAAAGGGATTTCTGGGCTACTGCATTGAGTGTTTACTTTCATAATGGCCATATATTATCAAACGGTTATCAGATATGGGCCCGTTCACAAACTTTATAGTCATTACATCTAATTTACCTGAGTAGGGACGTCACATTCACATGCCGAATGCATCAAGTCTGACAGACGCCCATGTTCAAGGAATAGTTCACTTGAATATTGCATGTTGCTTCATACAAGCCAACATTGCATTGAATTGTTTTGCAGAAAAAACACATTTAGTGGCGAAACTCGTAGTGCTGCTTATGCTTGAAGTACACTAACAGTCAAACGTTTTTTAATGTTTTTAAAAGAAGTCTCTTCTGCTCACCAAGGCTGCATTTATTTGATTAAAAATGCAAAAAAATCTGTGATATTGTGAAATATTATTACAATTTAAAATAAGTGTTTTCTATGTGAATATAGAGTAAACTGTAATTTATTCCTGTGATCAAAGCTGGATTTTCAGCATCATTACTCCAGTCTTCAGTGTCACATGATCCTTCAGAAATCACTCTAATATGATGATTTGCAGCTCAAGAAACATTTATTATCAATGTTGAAAACATTGGATTCTTTTTTTTTTCAGGATTCTTTGAAAGTTCAAAAGAACAGCATTTATTTGAAATATAATCTTTTGAAACATTAGAAATGTCTTTACTGTAACTTTTGATCAATTTAATTCATCCTTGATGAATAAAAGGATTGACTTATTTTATTGATTTCCTACGGAGGCGTATTGCATTCATTTTAGGAAAAAAAAATCTACTCTGTTTTTCTGAATTAACGAGTTAATTATCTCAGAATTACGAGATCATTTTTCATGAAAAAAAGTTTTTGCTCTGTTTTTCTGAATTAATGACTTAAATAACTCATTAATTCATAAAAACAGAGTGAAAAAATGTTTTTCAAGAAAAATGTATTTCATAATTCTGAGATAATTAACTCGTTAATTCAGAAAAACAGAGTAGATTTTTTTCTTCAAGTGAATGCAATACGCCTCCGTAATTTCCCCCCAAAAATAAAATAAAAATTCTTACTGACCCCAAACTTGTGAACGGTATAGTGTTTAAAAGTACAAGATGAACAGAATGAAGTTTTGATTAATCAAAGAATCCTGAAATAAAAATGTAAATAACTGTTTTCAACATTGATACTAATGAAAAATGTTTTGTTTTTTGTTTTTTTGTATTTTTAATCAAATAAATGCAGCCTTGGTGACCATAAGAGACTTCTTTTAAAATATAAAAATCAAAAATGTTTGACTGGAAGTGAATGAATGCTGTAACGCCTCATTTGTCATGTGTTCAAGCCCTTGAAACACTGGATTACAGTAAAACAGCATCGGTCGTGAGGTATCGATCATCTAAACCTGTAAAGCTGCACTGATGGGTGCTTGGAGATGAAGTGTCTTCACTGGTCAAACTGAAACGTAATATCGTGTTGTAACCAGGCGTGAACCGATAAAGCAATAAATAACTCATGTTTTTCATGATCATCTACAAATGTCAAGTTTTAACCGTAGTAAATGGTGAAATACAAAGGCTGGAAACTGTTCAAGATATAAGAAACTCGAGACGCATTTTCATTCGCTCAGTGCTTGATGTTATAAAAAAAAAAAAAAAAAAAAAAGTGTTCATAACGTTAATCATGAAGCAAAGTCCCTAAAACGTTCCAAAACGGTAATTTTCACTAGTTGCGGTAGGTGGAAGTCACTTGGGTGATCTTTCTGAAAACTGAGTTGTAAGTGTCATAAAAAGTCAGTATAAAAAAGGATATTGCTGTATGAATAAGTTGGATTTTACGGTTTCTATTCACAGTTTCTGGCCCGAAGTGACCAGTAAGCGCTTTATAAAATTTCCCCCCAAAAAAGTTCCAAAAACCACAGGATGCGTTTTAGTTGGCATTGCAACAACCGCAGAAACCATTGTTTAACTCGACGATAATGAAGAGCCCCGATGTCTCGAGATCCTGGAAATAGTGGTTTCTGTGTTTTGAAGGCCTCAGTACATGTCTCTGTAGATCTCCTGCAGTAAGGGATGCAGTGACGTGTCCTCCGTCTTCTTGATCTCCTGCACGAGGTGAGCGTGCTCCGTCACCAGCTGCCGAAGGTCCACGAGTTTCTGGAGGAGTTTGGGGAAGAGGAAGCCGTGGTCGGGGTGGTTGCTCCTCAGATGCAGATGAAGCACGTTAACGATGGTCTCCTGCATTCGCTCGATGTGCGGGACGTTCACCAGGCCCGGCCGATCTGAAACACAAGACAAATTAGTCTCAAAGAAATCACTTTTCTTCAACCATTGTTAAAAAAGCTTCCAGCAAATAGACTTAAAAAAAAAAATCTGAATAAAGCGATTCTGAATAAATTCTTGAAAACTTCAGCAAATATGACGTTTTTTTAATTTGATTTTCTCTTCAGTGATTCTTACGGAAGAGGATTAGGGCCAAGCAATAATAAAAAAATAAAACCATCTCGAGATTAAAGTCATTATAATGCGAAATTAAACTCGTTAAATTTCGAGAGAGAAAAGGTCGAAATACAATCGTGAGAATAAACTCATTAAATATCGTGAATAAACACAACGAGATTATTCTCAAGATTGTATTTCGACTTTTTTCTCGAAATTTAACGAGTTTTTTCTCAAAACACAACGACTTTATTCTCGATATTTAATGAGTTTATTCTCAAGATTGTATTTCGAGTTTTTTTTCTAGAAATTCAACGAGTTTTTTCTCGAAACACAACGACTTTATTCTCGAAATTTAATGAGTTTATTCTCAAGATTGTATTTCGACTTTTTTCTCGAAATTTAACGAGTTTTTTCTCAAAACACAACGACTTTATTCTCGATATTTAATGAGTTTATTCTCAAGATTGTATTTCGACTTTTTTTCTAGAAATTTAACGTTTTTTTTCTCGAAACACAACGACTTTATTCTCAATATTTAATGAGTTTATTCTCAAGATTGTATTTCGACTTTTTTTCTAGAAATTTAACGATTTTTTTCTCGAAACACAACGACTTTATTCTCAATATTTAATGAGTTTATTCTCAAGATTGTATTTCGCCTTTTTTTCTCGAAATTTAACGATTTTTTTCTCGAAACACAACGACATTATTCTCGATATTTAATGAGTTTATTCTCAAGATTGTATTTCGACTTTTTTTCTAGAAATTTAACGATTTTTTTCTCGAAACACAACGACATTATTCTCGATATTTAATGAGTTTATTCTCAAGATTGTATTTCGACTTTTTTTCTCGAAATTTAACGAGTTTTTTTCTCAAAACACAATGACTTTATTCTCGATATTTAATGAGTTTATTCTCAAGATTGTATTTCGAGTTTTTTTCTAGAAATTCAACGAGTTTTTTCTCGAAACACAACGACTTTATTCTCGAAATTTAATGAGTTTATTCTCAAGATTGAATTTCGACTTTTTTCTCTAAATTTAACAATTTTTTTCTCGAAACACAACGACTTTATTCTCGAAATTTAATGAGTTTATTCTCAAGATTGTATTTCGACTTTTTTCTCGAAATTTAACGAGTTTTTTTCTCAAAACACAACGACTTTATTCTCGATATTTAATGAGTTTATTCTCAAGATTGTATTTCGACTTTTTTCTCGAAATTTAACGAGTTTTTTCTCAAAACACAACGACTTTATTCTCGATATTTAATGAGTTTATTCTCAAGATTGTATTTCGACTTTTTTTCTAGAAATTTAACGTTTTTTTTCTCGAAACACAACGACTTTATTCTCGATATTTAATGAGTTTATTCTCAAGATTGTTTTTCGACTTTTTTCTCTAAATTTAACGAGTTTTTTCTCAAAACACAACGACATTATTCTCGATATTTAATGAGTTTATTCTCAAGATTGTATTTCGACTTTTTTCTCGAAATTTAACGAGTTTTTTTCTCAAAACACAATGACTTTATTCTCGATATTTAATGAGTTTATTCTCATGATTGTATTTGGAGTTTTTTTTCTAGAAATTCAACGAGTTTTTTTTCTAGAAATTCAACGAGTTTTTTCTCGAAACACAACGACTTTATTCTCGAAATTTAATGAGTTTATTCTCAAGATTGAATTTCGACTTTTTTCTCTAAATTTAACAAGTTTTTTCTCGAAACACAACGACTTTATTCTCGAAATTTAATGAGTTTATTCTCAAGATTGTATTTCGACTTTTTTCTCTAAATTTAACGAGTTTTTTCTCAAAACACAACGACTTTATTCTCGAAATTTAATAAGTTTATTCTCAAGATTTTATTTCGACTTTTTTTTCTAGAAATTTAACGAGTTTAATTTCGCATTATATTGACGAGATGGTTTTATTTCTTTTATTATAGCTTGGCCCTAATCCTCTTCCGTAGATTCTGAATCGATTCTTGAAAACTTTGGCCTGGCCGATCTGAAACACAAGACAAATTAGTCTCGAATAAATCACTGGCAAGCAAAAGCTCGTCGATTGTTTTCAATAATTGTAATAGTTGATATTACACCTCACGGTCCAATTCTGTGAATCACAATCCGATTCTGAGATTATTCTTGATCTGCATATTTTTACTTATTAATTTATAGAGTTTACCAACTCGGAATAGCAAATGTATTTGGGTTTTTTTTTTTTTTAAATTACTTTGTATATATTTAAAATAATTACAAAATGAATTATAAATAAAAATTATTGTATGTTAAGAATTATTAAATAACTACAGTGAATATAGCCTAAAAACAGAAGCAAATTTTTAATTAGATTCTCCCTTCAGCGATTCTGAATCGATTCTTGAAAACTTCAGCAAATATAGTTTTTTTCATTTTATTCTCTCTTCAAACTTGAAAATTTCAGCAAATATACACATTTTAATTTGATTCTCTCTTCAGCGATTCTGAATTGATTCTTGAAAATTTTTGTAAATATAACTTTAATTCAAATCTCTCTTTAGCGATTCTGAATCGATTCTTGAAAACTTCAGCAAATATATATATATATATATTTCATTCGATTCTCTCTTCAGCGATTCTGAATTGATTCTTGAAAACCTCAGTAAATATATATATATTTTTAAATTTGATTCTCTCTTAACGATTCTGAATCGATTCTTGAATCTTTTAGTTCTCCCACCTCTATAGTTTATTATAATTAAAGATTTTCTACATGAAAGGGATTATAAATGCATAAAATCCAGCTTGTGTTGCTACAAATGTCACATACACAATATATTTTTTAAGTATTATAGCAGAAAAAGTCATTTTAACAGTAATTAAAGAACAATGAAAAAAATGTAATTATTGAAATAAAAATCTATTTAAATATATAATAAAAATATAATCTAATAGAGGGATAGGCAACGGCGATCCTGGAGTGCCGCTGTCCTGCAGAGTTTAGCTCCAACCCTGATATAAACTCACCTACCTTTAGCCTTAGTAATCCTGAAGACATTGATTAGTAGGGGTGGGACGATACAGGTACCTCACGATTCAATTCTGTGGCGATATGTGGTCCACGATATGATAATATCACGATTCGCGATATCTACGATATTCAATATATTGGAAGAAATTTCATCAACGATATATCACGATATATGTGACTGAAAAGAAAGATTAACAATGCATGTGTACATATTGAGAATTAATATACCGTAAAACTTCCCGGGTTTTTATTTTCCCAAATCGTCGAACTGCACCGGCTTGTATTCGAGACAGGCGTCTATATGAGACAGGCCTTTATAATTTAGTGTTGAGATGTTGTTCATTGAGTTTAGGCGAGTCTCTAATCTCTAAAAATCTCCAAATGCTCCACGTGAAACTGCGGTCTTCCGACCTTTTACTATCGTGTCAATTGATTTTGATTAATATGCGCGAGGGAGAGAGCAAGACAGCGCTCGTGTTGTTTGAAGACGTGAAAGTGGGCGCGCGCGGCCGTTGCGCTCTCTCTGCTCGTAAAACCCGAAGTGTCTCCACACTTTAGAGTGGAAACTAGCGGGTGGGTCTTTGATTCGTTTTTTATTGTTTTCCGCCATTCTTCTCGCTTCTCTCTGTTGTTGTTAGTTAACTTGTGTGCTTCACCGGCCGCTGTTTGCGCCACTTTACCCCTATTTACTCGAACAGCGCCCCCCGCAAACAGAATGGTAGATATTGGGTAGTGACAGTGACACTGACAACGGGTAAATTAATCATTTTGTGTTGTAATAAAATATCGATATTGGGCGTTAGTGTATCGATTATTTATTGCGACAGAGAGCACAACAATATATTGCAATATCGATTTTTTTTCCCACCCCTATTGATTAGCTTGTTCAGGTGTGTTTGATTAGGGTTGGAGCTAAACTCTGCAGGACAGCGGCACTCCAGGATCGACGTTGCCTATCCCTGATCTAATATATCGACATTTTATTTCAATAAAATAAATATAAAAAGACTCAATCCACCTCCACAGCAGATGATGGCAGCAACGAACAGCGCGAGGTCACTGTCGTCCAGCTCGAGGGAGTTGAACTTCATGGCGAACTGAAACTTGGGCTCCATCATCTCGCTGAACGGCCGCCGCAAGCTCTTCAGAAACTCTCTGGTGATGAACCCGCTCCCGTACGCCACCAGCAAACCGTCTTTATTCATGCATGACGCCAACATGGCAAACAGCGCCTCATGGACGCCGTACTTTAATAATGTCACCTGTCGGAGAACAGACTGCGTTCAATTCAACGTGCTTATACAATGTTCATATATAAAGATCTGGGTTTGAAATTAACACCCGCCAATCCGCTAAATGAGGAAATGGCGGGAAACGCTGTCAAATCACGAGCCAATCTGGCGTGTTATTTATAATATTTACTCACTTTGCTGGGGAAGTTCGTGTGTAAGACAAATCTGCGCAGATTTAGTGTAAATACTCGACTCGTGAGTCCTCATGATATATTAAATACAGTGTATTGCTCAGAATCTGCTCATATCTGGCTTACTTGAACACACACGTCACTACGCAACAAATAACGCCGCGCTTGTTCATTTGCATTGAAGCAATAGCGAAGATTAAAAAGCATTTGATTAACAGAAAAGATATTATTACATGTTTCTGATGTTCTGTGTGCTGTATCGATCTGTCCATCTAAAACTAATTTTTGGTGAAAAGGATGAGGATGAAAGAGGAAGGGAGGAGATGCTGGATGACAGGATTTTGTTAGAATAAGAAATGAATGTATGAAATCCAAATTTTATAATATATATATATATATATACACTACCGTTCAAAAGTTTGGGGTCAGTGAGAATTTTATTTTTATTTTTTGGAGGAAAGAAATCAATAGTTTTATTTATCAAGGACAGTAAAGACATTTATAATGTTACAAAAGATTCTATTTCAAACAAATGCTGTTCTTTTGAACTTCCTATTCATCAAAGAATCCAACTGTTTCAACATTGATAATAATAATAAATGTTTCTTGAGCATCAAATCCTCATATTATACTGATTTGTGAAGGATCATTTGACACTGAAGACACTGACACTGGTGATGCTGAAAATTCAGCTTTGATCACAGGAATAAATTACACTTTACTATATATTCACACAGAAAACAGCTGATTTACACTGGAATAATATTTAATACTAAAACTGATTTTTGTTGTATTTTTCATCAAATAAGCGCAGCCATGGTTAGCAGAAGAGAATTCTTTTAAAAGTATTTAAAATCGTACAGACCCCAAACTTTTGAACGGTAGTGTATATATATATATATATATATATATATAAAAAAAACTGTGACGTAGTTAATCTGGTTTCTTTCTCTTTTTTGGGGCTTGTAGAAGTTCTGAATGGCCGGTAACTTAAAAATTTAGTAGTGTAGTATTACAAATTTATTCAAATGTTTAATTTAGATTTATAGTATATAAACTGAGGAAGTTTATTCGTGTGAATAACTAAGGTAAATGTCACAAACCTGCCTGTTCCTGTCTGTCCTGATCTTTCTATTGCAAGTTAAATTGATACAATCACCTTTTGTTTTAAATGGTTCTTTGAGTTCCTGTCTCAGCGTTTGGAGACTATCACCTTTTGTCATTGAATAGTCCGGCTGATTAGATTAGTTTCTATGCATTCGAATCACCTTATGTTTTAAATGGTTCTGGGAGCCCCTGGCTCAGTTTGAATAGTTATGCTGATTGGATTAGGCCAGGGCAGGTTTCTAAACCTGTATACTTCATTTACATGCTTTGTTTCAGAGTGTCTCCACCTCTATGTAACCCCTCCCCCTTATAAGGTATATGAACAGTCTGTATTTTAGTTTAGTCAGACTAAAATAGGTCTTAGACTAGACTGGTCTTCGCTTCTGAGTTTTCAAACACTTTAGAAGAAATAAGTTCACAACAGTAGCCAAATTGGCCCGATGAGAGGAAAAGTTAATTTCAAACCCTGAATGTTCATATATAAAGATCTGGGTGACAAATCATAATCATGAAGCTTTAAGAGTTTGCACTCACCTGGTCATTGAGGTCCAGGTCTGAGAAGCCTGGCACGGATTTGGCGAACTCCGTCAGCTCAGTCACCGTCTCCACCGAGGTGCACTGGCAGCAGTGAAATATCCGGACCTCGGCGTCCTTATTCAGCAGCCCTCCAGAAGAGCCCACCATCTTCGCCACGAACGTCTGCTCCGCCAACTGCAGCGTCTCCATGTCGTGGATCACAAAGGGCTATGCAAAACAATGAGAAGGAAGCATAAAGATTAAGAATAAACTGTAAGAGTGAGAATAAACATTTCGCAATAAATTAATACATGAGTAACTAACTGTATTTTCTATGTACATTTCTGAAATGCACTTTCTGTAAAGCTGCTTTGAAACAATATGTATTGTGAAAAGCGCTATACAAATAAATTTGAATTGAATTTAATTGAATTGAACAATACAGTTCTACGCCAGATGACCATATCTAGAGTAAAGGTGGCAGGTGGGCACTGGAAAATGTAATTCAATCAAATAAACAATGAAATTATATATAAAAATATAGATATGTCCCGCCCCAACATTGTGTTTCGATACTTTGAAAGATTGAAATTCAATAAAATCAATAATATAACAATAAATAGAATAAAAATGAGTGCTGCCAAACTGATTAATCGTGACTAAGATAAAAAGTTTGTAAATATACATGTGTGTAGAAATACATATATAAAGGTGAAACATTTATTTCAGTAATTCAGTCATTTTGATGATTATGGCTTACAACTTATGAAAACTCAAAATTAGAATATTCTGAAAAGATTTTCATAGCTATAATCCATAATCATCAAAATTATAACAAATAAAGGCTTGAAATATCTCTCTTTGCATGTAATAATGAGTCTATATAATATATTAGCACGATATACTTTTGCACGATATTCTAATTTTTCGAGTTTCACCTGTATTTATATCAATATATTATATAGACTCATTACATGCAAAGTGAGATATTTCAAGCCTTTATTTGTTATAATTTTGATGATTATGGCTTACAGCTATGAAAACCCCAAATTAATATGCACAAATACAATATTGTGAAAAGGTTTTCATAAGCTGTAATCCATAATCATCAAAATTCTAACAAATAAAGGATTGAAATATCTCAATTTGCATGTAATGAGTCTATATAATATATTAGTTTCACCTTTTAAGTTGAATTACTGAAATAAATGAACTTTTGCACGCTATTCTAATTTTTCGAGTTTCACCTGTAAATACACACACACACATTCATATAGATATATCTATTGTATATATATTTACAAACTTTTGCTTAAATGCGATAAATCGCGATTAATTGATTTGACAGCACTAATAAAAAGTTATATTATATGCATATATACTGTATCTACACACACACATACTGTATATATATATATATATATATATATATATGTTTAGATCCAATTAATCAATTTTACAGCACTGATAAATATTAAATATTGAATATATATTAAATATATAATTAAATTATATATTTATAATGACATTATATATGACATTGCTAGGGCATTACCCAACTTCACTTCAGTAGTTTAAAAAAACCACAAATAAACAAACAATTAAAAATAAGTAATAAAATAACATAAAAATAATAAAAACGATAAAATAAAAACAATAACATTATGATTGATTGATATTATTATTATTATGTGTATATGTAACAGACTCAGCTTCATGTTTCAATACTTCCTAAACTGTCAAGCCAATTAATTGTATCACTATGCAATTGTGTTTCACGAGGACAATACGATATCAGATGTACAGCATCTTCTTTACACAACCTGATTAAGTTCAGATGAAGGCATTTGTTCCAAACGGGCCTAAAACTCAAGCCGCTCCCGCCTCCATAAGAGAGGTCGACATGACACCCCGAGAGGCTCGTGAGAGAACAAGCGTACTGTGCGAGATGAAAGACTCGTCTTAATTCAGCTGCTCTCACTCCCAACAGCTGGCCCGTGTCCTGCAGAGCTCACAACCAACAATCGAGCTAGTGTTACAGATGCATGATGGGAAACACGTCTGAGGTGGAACCCATCCTTACACTGACACACATCCACACCCAGTCGGGATTCTGTGCAACTATAAACCCCTGCCCCATGACCTCGTGTCACATACAATAAGAGATTGGTTTTATTGATGGGCTTTGTGCTTTATAAGAAGGTAGAGAGACAGGAAACTGTGTAAGCACATGCACCGACCACTGCGCAATAGCTCAAAACTGAAAAATCATTTGTAAATCATTTGATCTTGGCATGACATGCTGCCTTAAAATAGTTTTAAAAGGTTATACAGACAGACAAACAACATCTAACAGACTGACTGCTAAGGTGTTCTAAGTGGTTGCTAAGGTGATCTGAATGGTTGCTAGGTCATTGTTATGTGGTTTCAAAGGTGTGCTGGGTTGTTATTAGGCCATTGCTAAGGTGTTCTGTGTGTTACTAGGGCATTGCTAAGGTGTTCTGTGTGTTACTAGGGCATTGCTATGCTAAGGTGGTCTGTGTTGTTGCTAGGCCGTTGTTAAGGTGTTCTGTGTGGTAACTAGGCTATATGGTTGCAAAAAGGTGTTCTGTGTTGTTCCTAGGGCATTGCTAAGGTGGTCTGTGTTGTTCCTAGGCCGTTGTTAAGGTGTTCTGTGTGATTACTAGGCTATATGGTTGCAAAAAGGTGTTCTGTGTTGTTCCTAGGGCATTGCTAAGGTGTTCTGTGTGTTACTAGGGCATTGCTAAGGTGGTCTGTGTTGTTCCTAGGCCGTTGTTAAGGTGTTCTGTGTGGTTACTAGGCTATATGGTTGCAAAAAGGTGTTCTCTGTTGTTCCTAGGGCATTGCTAAGGTGGTATAGGTTGTTGCTAGGCTGTTGTTAATGTGTTTTGGGTGGTTACTAGGCTATATGGTTGCAAAAAGGTGTTCTGTGTTGTTCCTAGGGCATTGCTAAGGTGTTCTGTGTGTTACTAGGGCATTGCTAAGGTGGTCTGTGTTGTTCCTAGGCCGTTGTTAAGGTGTTCTGTGTGGTTACTAGGCTATATGGTTGCAAAAAGGTGTTCGCTGTTGTTCCTAGGGCATTGCTAAGGTGGTATAGGTTGTTGCAGGCTGTTGTTAATGTGTTTTGGGTGTGTTGTTGTTAGGGCGTTGGTAAGGTGTTCCGAATAGTTGCTAGGCCATTACTAAGGTGGGATGAGTGGCTGCAAGGATATTGCTATGCTGTTGCTAGGGCGTTGCTAGAGTGTTCTGGATGGTTCCTAGGTAGTATCTAGGGAGTTCTGGGTTGTAAGAGTCTTACTAAGGTGTTCTGAATGGTTAATAGGGTGTTGCTAAGGTGGTCTGAGTGGCTGCAAGGACATTGCTATGCTGTTGCTAGGGCGTTGCTAGAGTATTCTGGATGGTTCCTAGGTAGTGTCTAGGAAGTTCTGGGTTGTAAGAGTCTTACTAAGGTGTTCTGAATGGTTAATATGGTGTTTCTAAGGTGGTCTGAGTGGCTGCTAGGACATTGCTATGCTGTTGCTAGGGCGTTGCTAAAGTGTTCTGGATGGTTGCTAGGGTGTTCTGGGTTGTTAGGGTGTTGCCTTTTTTTTGTGCCACTGCCCTTTAAATGATCTGTGCACGTCCCTGTTGCTTGGATGACTTACACATGGAAGAATTCTCTTACCGGCGTGCTCGTCTTGCCCGTCAAGATAGTCCGTGCTTTGCATTTGTTCATGTTGAAGTTCTTCATGTAGGCCTCGTAGATCTGCTTGGCCAGGGTTTTTTGATCGGCCAGCTGCGGGTCCTCGACCTCTCGTTCTCCCGTCAGGATCTCTGCCTTCAACCTTAGCTTCTCCGACTGTGGCATTCGCCCGAAGCGGATCGCTGTTCGAGGGATTATAAGGTAACTTATTGATAACACACAAACCAACATCCCAAGTACTGATGCTCCCCCTGTAGGAAGCTCTGACATCTGACATGTTTCTGCATATCTGAAGTCGTCCCAGTTATATGTGGATATAATCTGACGTGATCATTTGTGTTTAGTTCTTAAAGGGTTAGTTCACCCAAAAATGAAAATGATGTCATTAATGACTCTCCCTCATGTCGTCCCAAGCCCGTCAGACCTCCGTTCATCTTCAGAACACAGTTTAAGATATTTTAGATTTAGTCCGAGAGCTTTCTGTCCCTCCATTGTAAATGTATGTACGGTATACTGTCCTTGTCCAGAAAGGAAATAAAGACATCATCAAAGTAGTCCATGTCACATCAGTGGGTTAGTTAGAGTGTGTTGAAGCATCGAAAATACATTTTGGTCCAAAAATAACCAAAACTAGGACTTTATTCAGCATTGTATTGTCTTCCGGTTCTGTTGTGGATCCGCGTTCAGTGCTGCTGCTGACGTGTGCTGACGGCGGCACTGAACGCGGATCCACAACAGAACCGGAATACACACACACACACACACACACACCAGACACACGTCAGCAGCGTCTTACGTCAGCGGCGGCACTGAACGCGGATCCACAACAGAACCGGAATACACACACACACACACACACACACCAGACACACGTCAGCAGCGTCTTACGTCAGCAGCGGCACTGAACGCGGATCCACATCAGAACCGGAATACACACACACACACACACACACCAGACACACGTCAGCAGCGTCTTACGTCAGCAGCGGCACTGAACGCGGATCCACATCAGAACCGGAATACACACACACACACACACACACCAGACACACGTCAGCAGCGTCTTACGTCAGCAGCAGCACTGAACGCGGATCCACAACAGAACCGGAAGACAATACAATGCTGAATAAAGTCCTAGTTTTGGTTATTTTTGGACCAAAATGTATTTTCGATGCTTCAACACACTCTAGCTAACCCACTGATGTCACATGGACTACTTTGATGATGTCTTTATTTCCTTTCTGGACAAGGACAGTATACCGTACACACATTTACAATGGAGGGACAGAAAGCTCTCGGACTAAATCTAAAATATCTTAAACTGTGTTCTGAAGATGAACGGAGGTCTGACGGGCTTGGGACGACATGAGGGCGAGTCATTAATGACATCATTTTCATTATTGGGTGAACGAACCCTGACCTTTCAAGAGCGCAAATCACATTGAAATACTCTTTCCCTGACTGCTATATCTAATGCTGTGTAACAACTTGGCACAACGCTCAGCAAGCTTTTGTTCAATATCCCTATAAATTCTAAACTTGTCAAGCCAATTAATTGTGTCACTATGCAATTGTGTTTCACAAGGACAATACGACATCAGATGTACAGCATCTTCTTTACACAACCTGATTAAGTTCAGATGGCATTTGTTCTAAACGGCTGTAACTCTTTACTCTGAGGATTCTCTTGCAAAACAACCACATGCGCCGCTGATCACGGATGATTAATATTTGCTGAAATCCAAGGCCACTGTGTACAAATTTTGTCAGATCAGGATGTCTGGTGCCTTAGAAACTCGCCCAGAGGAATTGAGTAACACGAGTTTCAATCTGGCCCGAGTTCAAATGGAGTTTGATGGTGTAATTCGACACGCAGAGCAGCGATGGGCATCATTTTCAGAAACTGGCGTGTTTTGGATAGTTGTGAGGTGGTTTCTAACTGTCTCTACTGGTATATAGTGCACTCAAATGCAGACATCTTTAGTACCTGAAATGCAATCCTAACACAGACGGCACAATCCCCAACAGCTAATGAGCTTAAAGTCCCGGCCTGTAAACCTCCAGTGCTTGAAACACACACCCATGTTACAAAGACATTCACCAAACATTTGCATGCTATGAACTACACTACCGTTCAAAAGTTTGGGGTCAGTGAGAATTTTATTTTTATTTTTTGGAGGAAAGAAATCAATACTTTTATTTATCAAGGACAGTAAAGACATTTATAATGTTACAAAAGATTATTTTTCAAACAAATGCTGTTCTTTTGAACTTCCTATTCATCAAAGAATCCTAAAAATAAAATAAAAAAAAATGTACAACTGACAGACCAACAACTGTTTCAACATTGATAATAATAATAAATGTTTCTTGAGCATCAAATCCTCATATTATACTGATTTGTGAAGGATCATTTGACACTGAAGACACTGACACTGGTGATGCTGAAAATTCAGCTTTGATCACAGGAATAAATTACACTTTACTATATATTCACACAGAAAACAGCTGATTTACACTGGAATAATATTTAATACTATAACTGATTTTTGTTGTATTTTTAATCAAATAAGCGCAGCCGTGGTTAGCAGAAGAGAATTCTTTTAAAAGTATTTAAAATCGTACCGACCCCAAACTTTTGAACGGTAGTGTATATGCATTGCTACGTCAAAGTTTAACTGCAATTAAGATCACAAAATAGCTGTGTTCTACAGGTGAAACTCGAAAAATGAGAATATCGTGCAAAAGTTCATTTATTTCAGTAATTCAACTTAAAAGGTGAAACTAATATATTATATAGACTCATTACATGCAAAGTGAGATATTTCAAGCCTTTATGTGTTATAATTTTGATGATTATGGATCACAGTTTATGAAAACTCCAAATTTAAAATTAGAATATTGTGAAAAGGTTTTCATATCTGTAAGCCATAATCATCACAATTATAACAAATAAAGGCTTGAAATATCTCACTTTGCATGTAATGAGTCTATATAATATATTAGTTTCACCTTTTAAGTTGAATTACTGAAATAAATGAGCACCATATTCAAATTTTTCGAGTTTCACCTGTATATATTTATTTCTACACACATGTATATTTACAAACTTTTTATGTTAGTCACAATTAATCAGTTTGGCAGCACTAATTTTTATTCTATTTATTTTTATATTATTGATTTTATTATATCAAAGTATTGAAACACAATGTTGGGGCGGGACATATCTATATTTTTATATTAAAAAATATATAAAATATTAAATATATTATAGAAAATTTTTCGAGTTTCACCTGTATGTTAATATATGTTAACCTGTCATTTATTCCTGTGATCAAAGCTGAATTTTCAGCATCATTACTCCAGTCTTCAGTGTCACATGATCCTTCAGAAATCACTCTAATATGATGATCTGATGCTCAAGATTCGTTAAAAGATTCCAATCTCTATTTAAACACCCATACGATCTCATTCACAAATGACAACGATTTTGTTCTGTGACACTATTGTTATTCATATTATCACAGAAGTAGTGGAATAAAAGTTTATAGTTCGGATATAAACACTGATCTCTACAAAAGCGATGAAAATAGTGTAAATCACCTTTTAAAAGCAACTCATCGCTTCAAATAACGATTGTATCAATCACAGCGTTAGACAAGTGACAGTTAAAAAATGTATTTGTCATTGAATCATTCATTCAGGTGATTCATACAAAAATGCTGATTCATCCAGTAATGAAACAAGTATTTATGAGTGAGTCATTGAATCGTTCATTCAACCCATTTAAAAAAAAAAAAAAAATTATTCAGATTAATTTAACATTTTAAATAGACTGCAGCAATGAACATTTTGTCAGAACTTCTAGTAAATTACATGTTATTTTGTTTAGTTGCCTGTTCAGGATCATGGGAGAATCGTGATCTCGGTTTGAAACCAAAAAAATCGTGATTCTCAATTGATCCAGAATCGTGCAGCTCTACTATCAATGTTGAAAACAGTTGTGCTGCTTCATATCTTCTTTGTGGGAAACCGTGATACATTTTTATCAGGATTTCTTGATGAATAGAAAGTTGTAAAGAACAGCATTTATTTGAAACAGAAATCTTTTGTAACATTATAAATGTCTTCACTGTCACTTTTAATCAATTTAATGCATTCACATTGATTTTTGAACCACAACCCCTGCAGTCCCACATGTAAAACGGCACGACATGAGGGTGAATAAATGATGACAGAACTTTCATTTTTCTGTGAACTTTCACTTTAAAGTCCCATCTAGTCAATAATTTTATCACTTAAAACTCATCTTTAAAATGACATATTTAAATGTTTTTTTCTTTGAAAAAATTCTTCATGCCTTAAAATATCTTGAATGTAACTCGACACCCTTGCCTCATTTAGTATACGCCGTTCTATGAATATGCAAATGAGCCCCGCCTCCACTCACTCCCTCAGCTCAGAGATCCACTGGTTGACGATCACACGTTGATCTGATTGGTTACAAGGTCGTTTGTGACGTCAGAAACACCAGCGATTTCAAACCGTGTTTTTGAGACTGTCTTTGGTTCACTGCAGTTTTAAGCAGAAAATATTCAGCAATGCTGTCGACTTTACAAGTTAAAGCATATTAAAAACACCATATAGACATATAAACAACATTAAAAGCTTGATTTTCACCACTGGGGGACTTATATGCTACTTTAAGCTGGTTAGGTGTAATCCTCCAGCGTTTGGAGATAACAGGATGAAAGCAGTGGCGAGGAATGCTGCTGGTTTTAACTTTCACTGGGATGAGCAGGTCTGAAGCACATGCTAAAGTAACCGTCCAACGACACATATGTTTATATCAGCTTACGACGTGAAAGATAAACCACTTTAATAAGGAAAAGAATGGGACAACCGATATCCATTTCTTTAGTCTCTATTCCAACACATTTCATAGTTAGTATTTCTATCAAAAGGACCAAAAAACATAAAATCATTTTTTTTATGATCATTCAACCTAATTTTAGCAGCTAACCTACATCGCTGAGAGGAATGGGGTTAGGGTGATCACGCCTCGCTGTATGTTTTCAAGTGTACACGGTTCGGGTTACGGACTTCGACCATAGCACGATTTCAGCACATGCCTTTGCTGGTCATATAGTCCGTGCAAGACGAGTGGTTCAGCACAGCGGGCCTCATGAAAGATAACCTCTGACTCTACACTGAAAACAATGCAATGCAACAATGCAAGTCAATGCACTGATATCTCAAGGACAAAGACTTGCTCATTTAGTCAAAGATTATCCAGAACGGTAGTGCAACATCACGTTAACCTTGAGGAAGATCATTCAAAGGGACAAGTTTAAAGGGTTAGTTCACCCAAAAATGAAAATGATGTCATTCATGTCGTCCCAAGCCTGTAAGACCTCCGTTCATCTTCAGAACACAGTTTAAGGGTGCTTTCACACCTGGATCGATTTGTTTTGTTCCGGAACAGATCCGAAACAGAATACTTTGTTCCGAATCCATTTAATACGTCACTCTGTTCTAGGGTTGGGTATTGGTTGGGTTTTATCCGATACCAGTACCTACTCGGTATTTTTTAAACGGTTCCCGTGCTTAAACGGTTCTTGAAACGGTACTTAAGAAAACGAAACCGCACACACTTTATCAAAAAATAATACCCTTTTATTTACAGGGCCAAACTGGACACAATATTAACTTAAATCTTTAAACAATATAAATACAAATAATAATAAAACCAATTTAAATAAAAATTCACATTTACATAATATCAAATAAAACAATATTGTATCAAACAATGTAATAATACTGGAGATTAATAGAGATTACTAGCAGGCCGCAGAGCTGCCAACTCTCACGCATTGACCGTGAGACTCACGCAATGGGCTATATGCACGCATAACTTCCGCGTTTGACGCAAGGATGCTCTTGCGTTTCCGGTTGGGGAGATTTAAAGCGGAGGAAAACCGAGGAAACCGGGATTATGGCAGAGTCTTCAAAATTTACTGTCCTCTCGTCTTTGAAACGAAACTTTAATACGTTTAGATGTAATTTTATATATAGTTATGTTTATTTAATATAATAAACACAGAAGCATAAACAAAATGAGGAGTGTCTGTTTTGTCTGTTGTTGTGACTAACGTTTCTTTAGTATAGCAATAGAGTATAAAAACCAATATAAATTCTCGGTATAGCATTGGACTCTACGATCGGCGGAAGTAATCCAGCATCCTTAGACCTTAGAAATACCGCCGTGCATAGAGCCCATAGACCCTTTTCACACGCGCGCCAACATAATATGACGACGTAAGTGCGTCGAGGCGGCGCCCGCGCCATCAGCCAATGAATTGGCTTGATTCTATATGGATTCAGACTATCGGCACACCCAGATGGCGTTCTGACACGTAATTTTACACGTGAAATGCAGCCAAACCTTGCGAGCAAGAGCGCGCATGCGAGACAGAAGAGACTGTGCGTGTGTGCCTAATTAAGTCAGGCACCGAAATCAGGCACCGAAATTGTCGTTCTTATTCGGTCTGGTTACTACCGTATACGTCGGAACCGGTTCCCTATTGGCACCGAGTTTCGGTACCCAACCCTACTCTGTTCACACCACACTGTTGTAAAGCGGTCCAAATCGCGCACCCTTCCAGGGCTTTCCTTACGCCATTACGTCACTACCTCATGCGTGCAGGTCACGCATTCCATTGTGGGACATCGTCATGACAACAGTAGCCTAACACAAAATGAATCGCGGGTTGACTTGGTGCTACCGAAGAGGTGAAATGCCTCATATAGATATTTGGTCGGAAGAACACATCTCCCGGATGTTGGACACTACACACAAGAACACCGAAGTGTACAAGAAGATCAGCTATAAAATGAAAGAGAGGGGTTATGAACGGTCCGTCGAGCAGTGCCGCGCAAAGGCGAAAAAACTCCGATATTGATTTGTTCCGGTTCGTGGGTCGGTTGTGTTCTCACTACAAACGAACCGCTCCAGGGTTCGTATGGAATCGAGCCGAGACCACATCTTCTAGGCGGTCTGTTGTTTTGTTCCGATTCAGAGTGCGATTGTTGTGTTCACATATGACCAAACGAACCGGGCCAAAAGGGAAACGCCCCTTTGTTTCGGAACAACGTCTCCAATCGATCCAGGTGTGAAAGCACCCTAAGATATTTTAGATTTAGTCCAAGATCCACAACAGAACCTGGAGACAATACAATGCTGAATAAAGTCCTAGTTTTTGTTATTTTTGGACCAAAATGTATTTTCGATGCTTCAAAACACTCTAGCTAACCCACTGATGTCACATGGACTACTTTGATGATGTCTTTATTTCCTTTCTGGACAAGGACAGTATACCGTACATACATTTACAATGGAGGGACAGAAAGCTCTCGGACTAAATCTAAAATATCTTAAACTGTGTCCTGAAGATGAACGGAGGTCTGACGGGCTTGGGACGACATGAGAGAGAGTCATTAATGACATCATTTTCATTTTTGGGTGAACTAACCCTTTAATTTAAATGTGTCGTTCCAACCGGCCAGTGTTGCACTGGTTTCCATGAGATGCAATTACCATAAAATTAGGGGTTTTGTTTGCATGTGTTTGAGATGCAAGTTTGTCATACATACCATTGTGGGACATGCCCACAGACAGGCACTTCTGAAAGCGACAGTATTGGCACTTGTTTCGGTTCCTCTTTTGGATCTTACAGCGGCGTTCACACTTATCATACTCCAGTTTGAGGCGAATGGTCCGACGGAAGAAACCCTACAAAGAGGGAGAAACAGAAATCCAGTTTGATTTTAAGGCCACATTGACACATAGCCGGGTATTTGGAGAAACAAATATTTCAATAATAACACATCGTGCACACAATATCGTTTTTAAAAAAGTTCTCATTTACATCAACCCGCATTAATACGCCGTCGAGCGCCATCATTACTCTGCCAAACTGGGCGCTCGCATGACATGAAGCATTTTCTGGCGCATAATGTGACGCTTGAGAACCTAAAACCCCGTTTCTCCCAGTCGACACCGTAGATATCCATAATAAAGGCTAGATGTCTTACGGCGGAGTCTCTATCGTCATCACCGGCGGCCATCTTGTCACAGGCAAGCTTTCTGGCGGGCTCTGATGTAAGATGAGTGATCAGCTCGAACACTAATACTCTTATCTCGTTGAAATCTTGACGGATTTACAAACGGTTTGGTTTCTTACAAACGTTATTAACGAGGCAATAATTCTGGATGATTATTTATTGATACACTTATTATTCATAAGTGTGCAGTGTCATAACTACATCTCTGACGTTTATAACAAACCAAACCAAACGGTAGAAAATTGAGCAAGTTATGGTTTTTTAAAAAGTACACGCACCATTAAAACACAATGTTACGAGTGAGCGAGCTGCCTGTGACAAGATGGCCGCCAGATGCGGACGTCGACCTCCATTGGCCAGCAGCGCGGACGAGACATCTAGCCTTTATTATGGATATCTATGGTTGACACGGCAACATAACCAGCGCTTTCATAAATCTCCACTTTGGCCGGAGTTTTTAGAAATAACCGTTTTCTGTGATAAAAACGGGGTTTTCGTGTAAATGAGAGGCCAAACCGCAGGGAAATATCTGCGTCTTCCCTTCGTGTAAACGGGGCACTAGAAAAACACCAATGGCATATTTTTAAACAGATCAACGTAAGGTCATCGTTAGTTTTAAGTATCCGTCCTGCTCTGTACTGTACACTTTAAAGACGACTCGTTCCATTTGAAGTTCATATCTCTCAATTAAAGCGGGACAGAAAATGATGTACACAATCTAAACCAGGCGCTTCTCCAAATAGGCTGGCAGGACATTCGAAGCCTGTGTTTGTCCTCATTTGTCCTTGGATCCGTCGGGGTTTCCTCTCTTGGAAACACAGCTTCTGCCTTTCAGGCATGGTGACAGAGATTCAAAATAGGAATGAGGTTGATAATCCTACCCATGAGGATCACATCCTTAACATTAGGGGTGAACAGTACGATCATGGTAAGGGAATGCATCAAAATACAGTTATTCTTGCTGGAAAAGCATTGAAAAAAAGGTTTATATATTAAATAACCATGTGGCAATGCCTAGTTTTGGATTATCCAGTGAATTAAATATTTTATAAATGAAAAGACTAAGATTTTTTTCTAAATTAAAATATAGTAAAGAGAGCTGCACAAATACACTACAACGTTTGCACTATTTACAGGTGAAACTCGAAAAATTAGAATATCGTAAGATATGACAGATATGAAAACCCCAAAGTCAAAATTAGAATATTGTGAAAAGGTTTTCATAAGCTGTGAACCATAATCATCAAAATTATAACAAATAAAGGCTTGAAATATCTCACTTTGCATGTAATGAGTCTATATAATATATTAGTTTCACCTTTTAAGTTGAATTACTGAAATAAATGAACTTTTGCACCATATTCTAATTTTTCGAGTTTCACCTGTATGTTGTCATACCACATAATCCTAACTAACATTCATATTCGATCTAGGGCTGTCGGGATTCCTCGATTAAATTCCTCGATAAAATCCTCGATTGCAATTTACTTGTGTCTGCAAAATACCGGAAGCTGCTAATTCTATGGACGAGAATCCATAAACTGCATTATTAGACCGTTTTATAAGGCTGCATGATATACTTAAATCTTTTAAAAGTCATAGTTTTGCACAGTGCTTTTGTGAAATCGCTAAGTCTGTGATTTAGTTAAATGAGTATATGCACCGCGGGTTTCAGAGTGAAGCGCGGCTCTTTAATTATTCACATGCGTGCCGGTTACGTGTAAAACCCATTTTGAGTTGCTTATAACGTTCATCTGGGGAAACAACGTGCATCATTTCTCCAGATTTGTAACGTAAATCACTTATAAACCCTCTGCAACACAGGAGAATACATCAATATATTTCTAAATATGCAAATTGTTGTTTAAAATATTTTTCGGATTACTCGATTAATCGTAAAAACAATCGACCGATTATAAAATGAATCATTAGTGACAGCCTTTTTTTAACATATTTGACGATTAACCTCTTCTGCAACGGCCAGCATCTTCATATAACCCTTTGAAACCTTGATATCAGCGCTTTACTCTCCTCAGTATCCCTGGAAAAAACAAACAGGCCAGATCCGAATGTCGTAAACGCCTCCAAAGCACGAAATCAAGCGGCTTGCACAATCTGGCAAAGCGATGAAGACGACCAGCGGTTTGCCAGCGAGAGCAGAGCCTCACAGTGCAGGCTGGCAGGAAGGGATGGGGTTGTAAAAACTAATGGATGTTGCTTCACACATATTGAGCCATTTTGTCCCTAGAAACACTGTTTCGAAAGGAGGATTACATGGAGAGATACAGAGGGAGATGCAGAGGAAGAGGAGGAGAGGTTGAGGCGAGGACAGAAACGCGGGAGGTGTTGGTCCCGCTGGAAGACGACGTGCTCCGGACCGCATGTTCCTTCACCGGCCAAATCCCGGGCATCTGACGTGACGAGCAGAAGGAGACGCAGGGGATGAGTTATGAAATGAGTGTTATGCCTCTAAAATCTGATTCAACGAGCTACGTTTGTTGTAAAGCACATCAAATAAATTCTATATTAATATTAAAATGCTACAATTTTCAGTCATAATCATTTGTTCACAAACAAGTATTCATTACTTCTGTGAGCTCATTGTTTCTGCCTTAAATTTTACATTGTTTAAATTAATACATTTTTAGCTAACTGTGATTTATATACAGGTGAAACTCGAAAAATTCGAATATCGTGCAAAAGTTCATTTATTTCAGTAATTCAACTTAAAATATCATATAGACTCATTACATGCAAAGTGAGATATTTCAAGCCTTCATTTGTTATAATTGTGATGACTATGGTTTACCGTTCATGAAAACCCAAAATTCAAAATTAGAATATTGTGAAAAGGTTTTCATAAGCTATAAGCCATAATCATCAAAATTATAACAAATAAAGGCTTGAAATATCTCACTTTGCATGTAATGAGTCTATATAATATATTAGTTTCACCTTTTAAGTTGAATTACTGAAATAAGTGAACTTTTGCACGATATTCAAATTTTTCGAGTTTCACCTGTATGTACATTTCTGAAATACAAAAATTAGTTACCTCTGATAACAGATCACTCTAAATTGTAATGTGGACTGTAATGTGCATTTTCTGTAAAGCTGCTTTGAAATGATGTGTGTTGTGAAAGCGCTATACAAATAAATGTGAATTGAATTGAATTGAATATTGGTAATGAGTGCACTTATATCTGAAGGCCATTCACACTAAGGACGATAAAGATATAGTTCTAAAAATTGTTCTAAATATAAAAGAATAGCAGAGTCCGCACCACAACTATAACGATATTGTTGAAATCACGTTTTTTTTCAGCTGATAAACGATAAAAACACTGACAGCCAATCAGAATCCACTTGACTTTAAAGAGCATGAGCATTTAAAGTGGCAGACGACAAAACAGCAGCGCGCTTATAATAAACAGAACATTATTGTCCGCTGATGTGGACGCTAATATAGTTATCGTTCTTGATGTGAACCTGCAAATTCTTTGCAAATCAGCGGCAAATGCAATGTAGTGCAATGTAACGTAACGCAACGCAACGCAACGTAATGTAATGTAATGTAATGTAATGCAATGTAATGTAATGTAATGTAATGTAATGCAATGTCATGTAATGTAATGTAATGTAATGCAATGTAATGTAATGTTATGTAATGTAATGCAATGTAATGTAATGTAATGCAATGCAATGTAATGTAATGTAATGTAATGTAATGTAATGCAATGTAATGCAATGTCATGTAATGTAATGTAATGTAATGTAATGCAATGTAATGTAATGTAATGTAATGCAATGTCATGTAATGTAATGTAATGTAATGTAATGTAATGTAATGTTATGTAATGCAATGTAATGTAATGTAATGCAATGCAATGTAATGTAATGTAATGTAATGTAATGTAATGCAATGTCATGTAATGCAATGTAATGTAATGTAATGTAATGCAATGTCATGTAATGTAATGTAATGTAATGTAATGTAATGCAATGTAATGTAATGTTATGTAATGCAATGTAATGTAATGTAATGCAATGCAATGCAATGTCATGTAATGTAATGTAATGTAATGCAATGTAATGTAATGTTATGTAATGCAATGTAATGTAATGTAATGCAATGCAATGTAATGTAATGTAATGTAATGTAATGCAATGTCATGTAATGTAATGTAATGCAATGTAATGTAATGTTATGTAATGCAATGTCATGTAATTCAATGCAATGCAAAGTAATGCAATGCAAAGTCATGCAAAGTAATGCAATGTAATGCAATAATAATAATAATAATAATGCATTTTATTTCTAACGTGCTTTTCTTAGACTCAAAGCGCTACAATATACAAAAAGAGGAATAACAAGAAATAAGATACAATAAGACAAACACATTCAGTTGCAATAAGCAGCTCTAAAAAGGTTTAAAGAATTCTTACAACCTGAACGGGCCTTAAGAGTGCTTCATTATGAATATCTGAAAAGTTCTTGAAGTTCTATTTTTCTCTCTTTCTAAGCATCATTTCTGATGACATCATAGATCTGCTGAATTCACACTAATGCTGTTTTGACATTTCAGACTTCAATTCTGAAGTTTTCGGAATCATTGATGTATCGGAGAATCATTGTATCTCCCACCTTTAATTAATATGCAATGTAAATATATATTATTAGGTATAATTGTATTGTACTCTCTGGTCCAGAGTGTGAGTCTAATGAAATGCGCTTTACCTGGCGTACGGTTCTTACTCCACAGTGTTTACAAATGAGTATAAATAAGTATAAGCCCGTATGAATGATACACACTGCATCATGACATCACTCAGGCTTTATTTAACCCCTGCTAAAGCATGATGACCTCTGCAGCTGTGGCCCTGTGGCTCGGCTCAAGCGGTCACATGACGTACACAGGACTGGGCGAGGACGCACCTGTTGCCTGTGTTTTAACATCAGGGTCAAGGCCAGATCTTCACAGGCCTACTGTAAGTCGGGTGACACATGCATAAATAGCTTCTTTGCGATCAGAGAGCACTGGAGAGGTGAAGAACGTTATGCAAGTGAGGTGTCAAAATATGCAGAACCATAAAGATGAGCATTATATGGAAATGTCATGAGCGATGCAGGGCATTAGTTATCGGTTTGATCAATATTCGTTAACGATGGCACTGTTAACTGATTTTTAACAATAATAATATTGATTTAATAATAATAGTTAATTAATAAATACATATTATTATTATTATTACTATTAATAGTGGTCAACCGATACAGATTTAAAAAAAATAAAAATATATATATATATATATCTTAGAGAGCGGGGTGACTGATGGCCGATATAAAGCCAATATATTTATAATTAACATTTATGTATATTATATAAATAAATATATATAAAAAGAAAAACTAATCGGCCAATAAAATGCCCAATATTGGCCGATATATCGGCATTGGCGATATAACGGTCGGCCACTAACTATTAATGTATTATAGTATATTTACCCATTACATGTTATGTTTTGATTGATGTGGTTTAATGAATATTGAAAATAAAAAAGATTAAACACAAAAACATACATTCTGCATAGTAGTTATCAGGTAAATATTGTGATAATATGTGAAAACATCCTACTTTGACATCATTGATAAATAATAATAATATAAAAAAAAACGATATATAAATAATAATTATAAAAAAAACTATATATATATATATATATATATAGCACATATTATTTGCAACAAACAACTGGCTCCAGTATTAGTTATAAAATTAAAATAAGAATCGATCTCTGACCCCCCCCAAAAAACTATTTAAAACACTTCAAAATGCTTTAATTTTTTTTTTTTTTTAAATTAGAAGGGTGTTTCTGGCCTTCATACAGCTCTCAGACATTAAAACACATGTAAACACATCTGTGGTAAGAACACGTCCCATCTTTTTTGTTGTTTTTCTGACAGCACTATTATGACTAATGTGTCCAGTCAACAGTTGTTCCTTTAGACACAGATCTGAGGGCGAAACATCCTCCATGACCTTTAGTGAGGCCGGTTTTCTGCTCAGAGCCAATAAGGAGAGTGTGTCCTGGGGCTCGAACAGGCCGAGAAAACGCAGAGGAACATACACTCAGCCAAGCTTACGCTACTCCTACATCATACGTCATGCGTCGGGTCACTCTTCCGCCGGAACTAGACTCGCGTACGGCCGTTACCGGAAGCCAGTGATTATAGTTTATAAAGTTATAAATATGGATATTTTTCTTACAAAAATGCATCGCTGCGCTTCAGAAGTGCCTTTATTAACCTCCTGGAGTAAATAATGGGTTAATTTTTCATTTTTGGGTGAACTAACCCTTTAAAAGGAGAGTTGCACAAACACAGGTCTCACCTTGCAGCCTTCACATGCGTGAACTCCATAGTGGTATCCTGACGCGCGGTCCGAGCACACGCGGCACTCCAGGTTCAGAGAGGTGGAGGTGAACTCTTCTGGTCCCGCCGGGCCACCGTACACACATGATGACGGGCTGGACGCAGGAGTCAGGGCATCTATACGAGTGAGCAAACAAATGTGCACACTTAAAAGTGTTCTAAATCACCATTAGAAAGTCACTCGTTCAACAAAACAAGACAAGACAAGACAAAAAACAAATGTGCACTTAAAAATGATCTATAAGGGAATTATAAAATCAATGTCATTCAATTAGAATAGATTTTTTTTCTTTAAATGACAAAGAAACACTAAAATGAATACAATATATTACAATACAAAATCTATCTATATATCCGTCCACATATACACAACCGAGTTTGGGCTAAGATTTTTTAATCTTTATAAAATAAGTATTTTCTGCTCACCAAGGCTGCATTTATTTGATTAAAACATCAGTAAAATCAGAAATATTGTGAAATATTATTACAATTTAAAATAAGTGTATTCTGTGTGAATATAGAGTAAAGTGTAATTTATTCCTGTGATCAAAGCTGCATTTTCAGCATCATTACTCCAGTCTTCAGTGTCACATGATCCTTCAGAAATCACTCTAATATGATGATCTGATGCTCAAGAAACATTTCTGCTAATTATTAAGTACATACATTATAAGTACATACACACATATACAAAGTTTTGCACTGAAACACCAAAGAGAGTAGTGTGAAATAACTATTAGTCTTCTAATAATCACTAAAATACTTTATGACAAACAAAACATTAAGCCAAAGCCACCTGTTTACCTCCTATCCAACTCACTGCTCTGACTTTCTGCTGATTCATCACACATTTCCATGATGTAATTTCCACATTTCTCATGTATGGTGTTGTGGTGTATGGTATCACTTTTATGTGCGCTGTCTAACTGTTATATGGTGAAACCGCAGGTTATGATTCTGAAACTAATCATTTCTGCCCTTGAGGTTTAAATTTAGGAATGTAAAGTTTGTTCACAGAAATAATACGGATTCCATTGAGCTTCTAGAAGTGCAAACTAGGTCAGACATTCCAGAACCACAAGATTAACCAAAAACTGCAACACAACAAGGTCTAAAAGGTCAAACATGTTAAATGATTCTAGATAATTTGCACATACATGACATCTGATAAATCAATGGAATATGCGCTGAAAGCAATGAAGAAAAACCTTCATTTCCTGCCTGACAGTATATGAAAGTTATTATGCTGCATAATATGTCCACAACATTCTCTATGCAAGTACATGAAGGCAAACATATACTTTAAAACAATTTAACAAGCATTTTTGTTGTTTGCCAATAAAAAAAATCTAAACATCCCATTGTGAGATATGACGATGAAAAAACACTTTCTTTGGGATAATATTGATTGTTTTTATCATATTGGCAAATAGTTTCTCTTAATTTTTTCTCATAAGCATAAGTCTAACTAAATTTAAATGCTAACAATATGTTAGCAAAGCAATAACATCTGCATTTGCATTCTTATGTAGAGTAGTTTCTGGTTTTATTCTTTGCAAATCAGCTGCAAATGTAATGTAATGTAATGTAATGCAATGCAAAGTAATTTAATGTAATGTAATTCAATTCAATTCAATGTAATGTTATGCAATGCAATGCAATGCAATGTAATGTAATGTAATGTAATGTAATGCAATGTAATGTAATGTAATGTAATGTAATGTAATGTAATGTAATGTAATGCAATGTAATGTAATGTAATGCAATGCAAAGTCATGCAAAGTAATGTAATGTAATGTCATGCAATGCAAAGTAATTTAATGTAATGTAATGTAATGTAATGTTATGCAATGTAATGCAATGCAAAGTAATTTAATGTAATGTAATTCAATGCAATGCAATGCAAAGTAATTTAATGTAATGTCATTCAATGCAATGCAATTAAATTGCATGGAAAAGTGTCTTTTCTTAAAAAGTCAGAGTGTATTTGAGTGGCAGCGTCTGGGTACCTAACGCAGTGGAGCTCTCCGATCCGGAGCCCAGACCCGACGACTGGTTCTCGGTCACCTCGAAGCTGCTGAGAGCGTCTTCATCCATGGACTGAGAGATGTCCTGAAGGTCTCCCATTCCCCCGATGAAGTCCCTGCACAACGGGCTGTCCAGCACTGCGTCGTTCAGTGGCGTCGGGGCGCTGTACTGGTTCTCCATGTCTACCATGCTGGCGGACAGGGCCAGAGCGGGAATCACACATCAGCCTGGAGGAACGACAAACACATATTAAAGAAAAGCTATTGTATATATAGATACTGTAACCGGAGCACATGATATATATATATATATAGTTTTATTTCAATAAATGAAAACGACTTTTGATCAGCAATAAAAACAGTCACAGTTTTTTAAACCAGGGTTAGGGTTAATCACAGGTTAATCTCAACATAAATCACAGTTTCGTCTCATTTAATTAAGGTACAACATATAACAGCTTGTCAGATATTAGCCCTGCTAAAAGCTTTACGTTGTCTGCAATGTTTTTATCAGCAGTAATTATGGTTAAGTTCACCCTAAATAGCCTTATCTACACGTCTGTGTTGCGTCTGCCTGACACCGAGAGAAAATCAGAGAGCAACACCAGGCCACAGGAGCTGCAAGCTTTAAGAGACTGTGCAGATACATAATAAATATCCTTAATGCGTTAAGCATTTACTCGCATGCCACTAATATAGGTCTATTTTGAGGTCATGCAAGTTTCCTGAACTCATGACACAATGCAAGTGTTAATAGTTCATCTGAGGGCTAGATCACATGACTTCAGAGCGAGTTTATAAATGACAGGTTCAAAAAAGCACAGCAATGTTGAGAGTTTCACATGAAATTACCATAGTACTTTGAGTTTTTCTAAGCAATGAGATGAAATGGAGAGCAACTTGATTCTCCAGAGAAAAAGACCCAGTAATCTTCAAATGTTGTCTTCTCATCAAGTTAATTTTATCAAGTATACTTTCCGAGTATACTTTATGTAGCATGTATACTAAATGCAATGTACTAGAAGTATGCTTGTGTACTACTTCAATACTTCTTGGGATTAAATTGGCCCACCTTTTTAGTTTATAAAAGTATACTTTTAAGTGTACTTTAAGTGTAACAGTAGTAAACTTTGAGTACACAAACCTTTATCAAACATTTTTTATTTTGTATTGCAACTATACTCTGAACTATAAACTATAAACATGTAAGTTTATTAGATAGTACGTAAACATATGCTGGAGAGTACTACCTCAAAGAAGACAATATGTAAGAAAAAAAAGTATTTAATAGTGAATTTCAGTATCAACTTTTGTTAAACTTTCAATAAATCAGTGTTGACTTGATTTAAAACTAATTAGACACACTTTTTGATTACTAAAAGCTCATTTATAAACATTCAAACTGAATAAATTAAAAAAAAATGGAATTGGGACAGCAATTTAGGAAAAAAATAAAACTGAGTTCATAGGGCCCTAATTCACATGTCATTATAGACGAAGAAACATTCTTTCCATAGTTACATATAATCAAAGTAAGTGCAAAAAAAACCTGTGGCCACTCGCTAAGCCACGCCTTAACAACCAATTCTATTTTGGGGAACTAAACTCAAAGATTTTGTTCAAAATGGAGTGCTTGCATTCTGCAAAGGATATATTGCATACTACTTTTTAAAATTAAAAACTCAATATGCAAACGGTAGCGTGCAAACGTGTGATTTTTAATTTTGCAGCACTCAATAAAGTACAGACTTTAACAGTTGACCATAGAAATGGTAACAAATATGTCAATAGAAAAGATAACTTATATTTTAAGGGATAAATATACGGTTTATGATGGAGTTTGGGGACCTTTCAGATCGTCGGAAAGTTGGAAAGGTGTTGATAGAAGACTAAGAAAAGAGGTGGTATTGAATATCAATGTAAAATACTGAGAAAAACAACAAAAAAAACTTTTTTTGTGTTGTTGTTTTCTGTTACATGGAAATGTGTATGTATGTGTTTAGTTAAAATGTAATAAAAAAAAAGTCAAAATAAATAAAAATATAGCTTTTTTCTATTTATACTCATAAACCACAGAGGGCTTTGAACACCAATTAAAAGAAAATGTAAAAAATGACCAGGCGACCAATCAGCCGCAGTAGAATAAATACTTCGCCGCTCCACGATTTTGTGAGGCTCATGCAATTAAACAAAGGTCCTGTATGTAATGCGAGCTTGTTGAATGTGTGCGGCTCCATGTTTAACACCTACTCGCTCCTGTGATGACAACACTGCATCGCCCTCAGCCAGAACACACTGTTCCCTGTTCACTCGTCTCAGCCGGACACACACCGGCGCAGGAGACGGAGAGAGGGCAGCCAGTGGTCACAGTCACAGACCACGGGCCAAACGCCAGGGCATTTCCAACACGCCACCACAAGTACATGTGTACGGTATTTATCAGGCTGGACAGTACAACCATATGGCATGTGGATCGAGTTTTGGTTTGGATAATTAACCGAAACGTACGCTCCTCCTCGTGTCAATTCTGGAATCTACCGAAAGCTTTGGAAAATACGTTATTTATGTTGAGTAAATACTGTCAAGTCAAATTTATTTATAGTGCTTTTCACAATACACATTATTTCAAACTAGCTTTACAGAAAATCATGATGTTAATGTTCATCTTAATATCTCTTAATAACCCTTATAATCGCATTTATAGAGCTGGATGATAATATTGTTTACATTTTGCAATGATACAAGCATTAATGAGATACATGTTATACTGTACGTACGCGGATAAAGTTCTTCTTATACATTCTTATATATCCAACTTTGTATAAAGAGCTGGCCGATAATATAGTTCAATCAGACTGTTTATCCTAAAAAATGTGGGTCAAAAATGACAGATTTAAAAAAAAAATGAAATTATTGTACTATATTGTAGTTCGTTTATGTTTTTTATTTAATATTTTGTACTTTTAGGGGATTTTTTTTTACTAAATTATATTTATGCTGTAGTCATAATACATTTATTGACTTTTTGAGCATGGACCTGAAAACTAAATTTCCAACTTAAATCTTGAATGTTTTGGAGCACAGACTTAAAGCTGCTGTAGGTAACTTTTGAAAAAATGTATTTGCTAAAACTGTCATTATGTCCTGACAGTAGAATATGAGACAGATAATCTGTGTAAAAATCAAGCTCCTCTGGCTCCTCCCAGTGGTCCTATTGCCATTTGGAAGAAATACACGCTCCCGGTCAGAAACAACCAATCAGAGCCAGGAGGAATGTCTTAGCAGTGTCAATCACGCTCGTGTACGCGCTGACACACCCCTCTCTTGCACAGCGCGAGCCGTCGTTCAAACTCAAGATTGCCGGCGTGCTGCAGCTGTGCTTATGACGGAGAAACAACCTAAACTGCCAATTCTGACGCCTGCTCATAAAACAAAGAGGTAAAAGGAAAAAGACTGATGACGATAAACAAGCGAAAAAGAAAGGATTACACAGAGCCCATTGACTCGGTGTCAAAACTCTTGCCGCATAACATGTAGATAAAATGTCACGCACTCTGCTAAGCAACAATTGAAACCTGCTAATTCACTGGCTTGTCATGTTGCTGAAATAATGTACTAGCACACCTTATCTAGCATTATATATCGCTAGAATAATTACTTACATACTGTAACGTTAGTTACCGTTATATTAACGTTATCTTACTAGCTATTTATAACTTATAGAAAGAGTGCAACGTTATAAAGTTACATGTAGGCTATTGGAAAATACATAATGATTTGAGGACCAAGTTTGTAGTCAAAGTATGGGCAGGCCATAGTCAATGTAAAGCATATTATTGACGTTTAGTCCCTATTAGTGAATGTGCCATATAACTTCTAATCCGCGATTATCGGTGGCCCTGTTTACTAGCCTGCGCGTTCACGACAGGCTCCGCTGTGGAGGGAGGGCTGTAGCGCAGCAGAGAGCAAGGGGGTGGGACCTGTAAGTTGTGCTTGTTCAAATTTTCAGTCAACGTTTTCTCAAAACTCCCTACTGCAGCTTTAAGTTTGGTCTCTTTTTGAAGATGACACTTGACATATTATTCCTGAAGTGAAAAAAGTTATAAAATTTTACTTTTATTGTTATGAGAAATGCAGAAAAAATATAATTTTACATTTTTATATGAAATATATGTTTCCAAAACACATTTTACTCTAAAACTGTGAGAAAATCAAAGCCACAAATTTAAATAAGCTGTGTACCAAATTTAAGGTTAATATCTCAAAAAATGAGCTTTCAGTAAGATTTTGTTTGGGCGCAGTACCAAACGCTTCCACTAGATGAAATTCGCATATATATCTATTATATATGACTGCAATTTGCATATATATGTGTGAATACTTTGCCACCACCTAAGTCTAGAGTAACAGTATACACCAAGCTCTTTTATTTCCCAAGATCAAAGAAATATCCTGTTTTTAAATTATATTACCTTAAGAATCTGATGCTTTACTGAGCAAACACAATATAATTAACAACAAATGAAGTTCATCATAAGGTTAGAGCTATGACCAACAAATATGAGGAGTAATGGATTAGTTATTAGCTTCGGGACAGAGTCTTGGACGGCCAAGGACGATCTGAGTGAATCAATGACAACTCCTGCAACAGCATTATAATAAGAGTGGATTAAAACCGAGATATAGGGCGGCCCGGACAGCACTTACAGTCTGTTTGAATGAAGTGTCCTGAAAGTCATCAATGCTTGAAATCTATCATAAATATAAATATATCAGCAAAACAATAAAAAAAACACAACAAATGAGCTCATTCCCACTAGAATTATAGTCAGAACAGCATGTGCAAAACCACAACAAAACCACACCTTCCTCTTGAGTTTATACATGTGATCTGATGTTTGTGTGTCTTTACACATGGAAAGTACTCATAGTCCAGCAGGGTTCAGTGGCAAATGCTTCACGCGCCTGGCGCTCGTGTCTTGTTTCAAGTTGCAATTCAACACACAATGTGACCTAAATTGTGGGTTGGGGGTGGATGAGGGGCCAACGCAACAAAACCGACACCAAAACCCGGTGACATCAGGATGGCACACTTCTCACGGTAACATTATCACAGTAACATTAAGGCCGCAGGACATCAGCGTGTGGGAGCGAAACAATCTGAAAGCCACAAGTCATTCTTTAACAGTTTAAAGTGCTAAAATGACTGGGAAAGTGCTTTCATTTGA